GTGTTGTTCAGCATGGGGGTGAGTAGAAAATGAAGGCTAATCATGTTTTGGGTGTACTATTCCTTTAATGTTTTTTATTAATGCATTTGCACCAACAATAGACAATAGATGTTGAATGGAGAAGACAACACATTTTAAACAATAGAAGGGTCTACAAATTAGAATTTATTGTGGACTTTTTTAAAAGGATATATGATCAATTATATGCATGATTTAGGCATCAGGGCTGCAATTAATGATCATTTTGCAAATCGAATAATCTGTCTATTATTTTTTTGATTAATCGATTCATAATCAGATAGCCTAAGGTTCCTTAAACAAGACTTTTTATAAATGTAAACAAGGTAAAACTAAAACTTTTTCACGTGACGACTCCTGGAAAGAGCATATTGATAGACGAAAAAGTTTGTTTTTTTTAAATCATAAAGGCAAAATGTTTATATATTAAATTTATTTAATTTTGGTATAATTTCTGCTCAAGGTGGGTCGACCTGTCAGCTAAAAGCATGTTTTAGATTCTCTACACCCCATCTAATGATTGATAAATTACCAAATTAAATAATTGATTAATTACAATTAATCTGATTGTTTCAGCCCTAATATGAATACATTATTTATTAAGTTGTTTTTTTATGTAAAAGTTTCACATTTATCAGCATGGGCGGATCTAGACAGGGGTCAACAGGGGCTGATGCCCCTGTAGATCATGTCATGGCCCCTTTTATGGCCGCTGTAGTGAAGACATAATACTCAAAGAAATTCTAATGATGATATGTGCTGGAAGAGACATGGTTACTGATAGGTCTTTTGGATCTATTTCAGGTTTTTTATTTATTTTTTTTATTTTACAAATTTTGTTTTAGTCATTATTTAAAAACAATAAGGTGCTAGCTTCAGTGGTATTGAGATAGGATCCCAGTTTTCATCTAGTAAATGTTTTTCTCAAAACACATACAAAATAAAAACAGCTGAATTTATCAGGTTTGCTTGAGTTCTAAATAAGATTTATTTTAGAAAATGGTAATCTTAGCTTAAATTAAGTCAAAAATATATAGAATTCCTAAATTCTGAATGTATATTGACCTAATAACACATAGAATATTAATTAAACCTAATTGAAAAGGAAATTTCACTTCATGCAGCTCTGTCATTATATTTGAATCCCTTGCACTGTTTTTTATTTCATGCTTTTCTGTGCTCCCATGAAAACATGCTGGCCCCCTCATTGCCCCGTGGTACATTAGGTCTAGAACCGCCACTGTTTATCACAGGACCTTCTGTAGCCATCATCAAGCTTATGGCATTGTTCATACTGTACATTCAAGAGCAGAATTAGTGGACTGGTTGGCTTCCAGGCACAGGCCTGGCTTTTAAGCTTTTTACAGTTAAGTCAAGGAGTTTGAGAAGTAATTTACAATTTTGAAACCGCTGGATGTTCAGGTTGTGAATGTTTCCTTTTTGCTTAAGCAGAAAGCAACTGTATTTCTTCTCTTGAAGAGATTTCATTGCTTATGCAGAGGGCCTCTTCAGTTAGGAGACATAATTAAAACCTTCAGGGAGAACTTTCTTTTAACCATCTATTGTCACTAACGTCAGGAACACTGGTTCCGCTCCTCACTTTCAGCTGTGAGACATTTAAGAGGTCCCTTACACGTTCAGCACATTTAGAGTTACCCCTCATCTTCTCTATTTCTAGGCCCAGAAAATTTAATTTCTAGTTTCTCCTTGTCAAATTTAGTACTACATTTTGGGTCATTGTTATGTTTCAGTTCTGCTTCAGGTTAATTGATTTTACATTTTCCTCAAACCCCATCGGGGACTTGTAATTCATAGCAGAATCTAGAATAGTGAGGTGGTCCAATCCTGTCACTCCTTTTTCAATGTAGTTATACTTGGTTTATGCTATACTTGTCCTTTTCAATGGTGTTTAGATTTAGACTGTCTGCCCTAAGAATCTCATTCCAGGATTACTGGTATTTGTTTCCCCTCTCTCTAGTAAACATCACATGACCTTTAAATTTGTCTCATAGAGCAAAGATTTCCTAACCTGACTCCGCCAGATGGATTTGCTCCATATCCATCTGGAAACCTTCCGTTGAAGTAATTTTGGGAAGGGGCGAAAATACTGGTTAGCTGATTGGCCTATGTTGGTGATAGACGGGCCAAATAAACCAATCAGATCAACGAAGCATATGACGTACTAACAGAGCGACGACGAAAACAAAACCACAAGCCAGGCTACTCTTGCCGAAACCAGTCGGGAGAAGAGCAAAAACATCTTTTCCTCTGAGAAAAGCCTCCAGAGCAGTGTTTTGCTCTTCTTTCAGTGAAGAAATACTCTGTAATTCCGATAAAACTTGCTCGATAGCCACGCTAACGCTAGTTTCATCGGCTAAAGCCACCATGTTCTTTAGACTGAACTGTCGCGCTTCTTGTTGCGTCACACCTCAACCCGCCTCAAAGCCAACACTGATTGGACATTCGTTTGGTGAACTGCTCCAAATTTTCTTTAACGGAGAGTCTCCAGACTGATTAGCGAGTGAAATCTTGAAAGCTTGCAAGATCAGGATGGTCTCACGAGGCTAAAGATTTCCTCCTTCCATGCCTCCCTTAAAAGATAAAACCTGCCCAATCTCTGCCTGACTGTGCAGGTACTTTGCTATCAGTGGTAGTAAAATCCAAGTTTTCTTTAGGCATGTTACAGTCTACTTTTACCAAAAAAATGCATTCATAACCCCAACTGGACATAATGGCAGACTTTAAAGGCTTCAAATGCATATTCAAAGGCCAACAAGGTGCACAATGTCAACTACTATGGTGAATTGATGCTATCTTTTCTCAGACACTAGGGATTTTTAAGAATTAACAAGGCAGCAGACAAGGCAGCAGAGTAAAAGGAAAAAACAGCAAAACCTCAAGTAAGAAGAAATATAGACTGTGATTACCACAGAGGACAGCAACACAATCTGTGGTGGAACCATATGATAAACAACTAAAGGTTGTGTAGTGCTAAATAGTGATTATATACTTACAGTGACTGTGTTTTTGTAGCTTCGTGAAACTTCTATTTCATATTCATAGACCTCCAACACAAAGCCCCTCACCCAGATGGCCTGTCCAGTATCTCGTTCCTCATTACGAACGGCTAGTTTGAACCGAGGGAAAGCTCCACTTGTCCCCACCACCTCTCTGTGTCCACAAACAGTGGTGGCCATCTTCAGAGTACAGGAGCTCTGAAGTTCAAACGGGACACCACTAAAAGGCAGAAAATGGCCATAACCAGCAACCACACACAAGGCCTCGGTGCGTGGCTGGCAGAAGTATAGACCATCGTTCTCCTGGCAGAACTCCTCAGGATGACAGGGGGAGAGCTGACAGTAAACACTGTTGTCAGAGCCGTTGCAGAAACAGCGCTCCTGGCATTCCCAATCCGTCCAAAAGGTCTGGTTTGTGGCCACCTGGTGACCATGGTACATGCAGCCACAATCGCTACGTGCAACACACAAGCCGTCCCGCAGCACAAAACCCTCCTCACATTGGCAGCCTTCCTCACATGGCAGAGGGCACGGCTCCTCCAGTTCATCCAGGTTGGTGCAGGTTAAAGGGCAGGCAGTGGTGCACTCTTCAAAATGGCTGTTCTCTGGACAAGGAAGAGCTGATGGAGAGGCAGGACAGAAGTAGAAACATTTACAGTATATTAGTATATAATCAGCTGTAGAAGAGAGCATATGTCTAACATCTGCATGTCATGCTCTTGATGACAGTTTTTTATTACTAGGTATGCTGACAATATAGTCAACATAACAAGCAAGACTTTACAGTTTTTTTAAGAATAGAATTTAATCAAACAGCTTGAATAGAAATGTCTACAGTAAGTTAAGAAGGTAATTGATGTCTTTCAAATGTACCTAAATTTACGTAATATCTTAATGTCAATGATGCTCTACTGTAGGTTACTTTAGTTTATTACAGCCTCTTTGAAGCTGTTATGACTGCTAATAAACCAATACAGCACTAGCGGTGTGGTAAAAAAGTGCAACTACTAATTCAGAGAGGACTGAAATTCTACTTATTAGACTTCTTCTTAGACTATCAGCTCATGTTATGTATTACACTCAAGTCTTCAGTAAAGTTTTTCCAATCCTGTTGTGAATTTTGACTCTGCCATGTTTTTACAAGTGTCATTTAAGATGGCCAACAAATATTTTTTTTATTTTCAACTGAGAAACTTTTTTTTCAATATTATTGACATGATTTCTGTTATGCCTTAAATGTTCTACTCATTCCTCCTTATCCTGCTGTTTGCGTATTGTCCTCCTCACCTTTGTTGTTATTAAGGCAGAACACAAATCAGGAACATTATCTTAAATCTTAGATCTTTCACATTTTACTCTTCACGCCAAAACAGTTTTAAGAGAAACCTTATTACACCCATTTCTACTGGTTCAATTCAATTCAGTTTACACATCATGTCAAGGCACTTAAGTTGACATTGCATTTTAAAATCCAGTAAACTGTTTTAGTACGCACTCTAAGAGCCTCTTCCAAAGATTGTTGGTGGGCACATGTTGAAATTGTGAACATATTATACATCTCCTGCAACCTTCACCTTGCAGATTGTTTTTTAAAATGCTGAAGTTTATTCTGTTTTGACAAATTACTCCATGAAACACTTTATTTAAATAAAATTAAAACTAGAATCACATGTGAAGCCTATTCTACTGTACTATTTGCTATCTCATAATACTATTTATGTTTAGCAAAACAGTTATCCCTAAAGTTTACTAAGTGAGGGAAACTCTGAAAAAAAAAAAAAAAAACTCTGTGAAAAACATCTTAATAGCATTATTGTAAGCTCTAGCCTCATAATATCCACCTAATTTCTGGGAAATTCGCCTATTTTGCATACCCAAATGGAAAAGCAACTAACTGGGGAACTGTAAGCCCAAATTACATTTGTGATACGTTTTTGAAAGCTAACTCCTTCTAGTTTCTGAATATATACATGAAAATTGGGTGAGTAAAAAAACCAAGCTGCATAAAGCCCAAGCATCAGTTTAAACATGACTCAAAGTTGTTTCTTTTTTATTCTAGAAAAAATAGGTCTTTTTTGAACAGCAGTAATAAAGATATTGTTGCTTGTTTTGGCTGCTTTGTCATGCAGCATTTCGACATGCTTTTATAATTATGCTTTGGTGCTCCCTATGTCCAAAAATTTAAAACTACAAATATGGAAGCTATAGTGGGACTCAAACTAAAAAAATTACAATGTGACCAATATTTAAACAATATTTTAGTAAGGAAGAGTCTTGTCGGAAACTCAATTTTTTCTTTATCAATAAATACATGTTAACTTTTAACCAGGTCTAGCGACAACAGTCTTTGAAGCAGACCCATTTTCAGCATCAACAATGCTATAATAAAATTAAAGTGAAGCAAAACAGTATAAGTCAGAAGGAAAATACAGGTATTTTCCTTCTGACTAGCTTCTGGGGGTTCTTCCAGCAAATGCTCTGTCCTCCTGGCAGAGATGGCAAGTTTGTTTGTTAGCCTACGTAAGCTAGGTTGCAACAGTTATCAATTGCTGTTACCCCAATTTACTCTTCGTCCAGTTATGCTTTGCCCCATGACACTGCAGACTTCTCCACCCATTTTATTTAAATTATGTCTGCTAAGCTGCGGTGCATAGGAGCCCCAAGGATCATGCACATATTGGCTGTTAAAAACCTGTGAGCAATGCAGATGTCAGACCATGACTTCTCCCATTAAATTAGGTAAAACTTCTTCACTTTAACTTTTGGGCATCCAGATTATTTTAGTAATAACATACTACAATGGGCGAGTATATATTGAGTGCCAAGAGGCTGTTATTGTTCTATTCCAGTTGGAGCAAGTTAAATTTTGAATATTTACTGAGGTCTTGCTGCTGCATCAGGAAAAAAATAGAATCAAGTTGAATTTTGCTGTAGTGCCATTGGCTCACTACCACCCTGTGCCGCAGTGCCCCCCTATGAAGAGACAATATAAATGCCCTTAGTGACTATAATTGCTTCCTATGCAGTTCGCAGCTGGATGAAAAAGGATGGTATTCAAATTAGGGGTCATTCTTCACAGTGGTCATACCAGCAGACGAACACACACTTCGTCATATCTTCGTCATCAGTCATATTTTCCGAGATATTTTCTATGCGTTTCATCATTTATTTTAGCTGAATTGTCAAGAGTAATGTGGGATGATGTCTTCTCTTCTAGTCAGAAAGAATAGACCAAAGTGATAACAGTTTCCTGTGATTTAATCACAAGTGCTGCAAGCAATCTCCATCCATCCATTTTCTGTCAACCTGTGTGACCCGGCTGTCACACTCCAGCTTTCTATGGGCGAGAGGCAGGGTACAACTTGGACAGGTCACCATTCAGTCGCAGGGCAACACAGAGACAAACAGGGCAAACAACTATTCACACACACACTCAATTAGAGAAGCCAATTAACCTAACAGTGATGTTTTTGGACTGAGGGAGGAAGCCATAGTACCCGGAGAGAACCCAAGCATGCGCAGGGAGAACATGCAAACTCCATGCAGAGATCGAAAAGAACCCAGAACCTTCCTACTTCAAGGCAGCTTGCCTTGCAGCATGCCTACAAGAAATGTCACACAAAGAAATATAAAACACAAGGACAGAATTATTTTGAAATTATCATCACTTGACAGGGAAGGTTTGTGCTTGAAGTTCACATTAATGCATTTATGACACTCCATCGTGTTTGTAGTAGTTACGACACACATACTTAATGTGAGGCAACAGAGTATCAATCTCTGTGAATGGTTACTCATTTAGTGCCCCACCAGATGGGATTCAATGTTAGACACTGGTGCTATAAGGAATTGTAAATGCCCCTCAATGAATTACCCCTTTTATGAAAAGCAATATCTACTCACGACAGTTGGTTGCAATCCTCCAGGAAGCGAGGCCAACTTGGGCATCCTGACAGGCTGTAGCATAAGCCTGTAGAGAGGAGCACAGGGCTGACCGATTTCCTTCCCTTATGCACATGTTGTACAAGCAGTTCCTAAAGAAGGGGGATGGATTCACCACTGTGTGGCATGCCAGAAAGGAGCTATTCCCTGGGTCATTGATGTTTCCACACATCCAAGGACTCTGGTAAAGACGCAGGTCTGTGCACATGCGGTATAGATCATCGCAGTCCCCATTGCAGGTAAGGTCGTCTGCAATTGATCTCCATCCATCTGTAAACTGTTCTGTATTTTCTGCAAGACGACCGTTGGGTAGGCGCAGGTCATCTGTGGCGTTGCTGTTGAAAACTCCACATAAGCCGCATGTAATGTTGTAGTAGATGGTGGATAGAGAGATGTTAAGGAATCCTTGACGCGTGTAATGAACACGGAGCAGACCTCTGGACTCCACCACAGTTGTATTTCCTGGTGCCTTGTAAATTATCATTGTCCCCATCGGATGGACAAATGGAAGAACAACAGGTTCGCCATTCACCTGGGTACAAGGAGCAAAGCAGTTGCAAATGCTAGATTTTTGCCAACAGAATAAAAAATAAATAATAGAAAATACTAACCTTTACTGTATCAAAGTCTGTGCCTCCCATCTGTGCCTCAAGGTTAGCCACAGTTACTATCACAGGTCTTATCCAAGTGGGACCTTTGTTAATGAACCGCCTGCCAATCTTCACCTCTACCAATGACCCATTAACTGGTATCGGACCACACAGCTTTAGCAGGTAGTAAGAGCTGTCATCCGGAAACAGGAGAAAAGTGCCATCAAAGCTAGATGTCACTGAGTTCTGGGTGACCGAACACACTCCCTCTCTTCGAGGGTAACAGCCCAGTAAGCCTAGTTCGGCCACACACACTTCACCCTCTTTACAGGACTCATTGAAACAGGAAACTTCTCCAGCAAACCCGCATGTGCAGCGGAGGGTACAGTCACCTTCCGCCCCGCTGGGACCAGCCCAGAATGTGTGATTGAGGGGGTAATACAGATCGTTGTGCTCACATCCACAGTCATCTTGCTGAACACAGCGATTGCCGCTCAAGACGTATCCAGATTCACACTGGCAGCCCTCAGTGCAGGGATGAACACAGTATAGGGGAGCAGTGAGGTCGGAGCAGGAAGCCGGGCAAGCAGTCGTACAAACCTCATAATGGCTGAATTCTGGACATGACATTGCTTAGAGCATATGAAAAACAAAGAAAATACATAAGATTAAACATAATAATGTGAGTGCATGTATACTTATAAAAAAACCAATGCATACTGTATCTCACCACAGAAGGTGCGAGTTCTCCATGGTCTTATTGTGACACCGAGGGCCTGACAGGCTAAAGCATAGGCCTGGATGGCATGGCACAATGTGGTGATGTTATCCCTGTTGCTGCACATATCATACACACAACTATATACAAAGGCAGTAGGGTCCACCACAGCTCTGCAGTCTCGAAAAGGTCCATCAGTTTTGTTTATTAGCCCACAGTAATCTGAACGAAAGTACATGGCCTCTGTTAGAGGGTCACAAACGCTACAATTCTGAGCACAACCGTCTGAGCACTTCCAGTCTGTGTTTTCTGCTCGCCAGCTTCCTCCCAACTCCACCACGCTTTCAGCAAGAGAGCCATCAGGAAGCACTGGATCATCCGCAGGGTCATCGTTATAGTTTCCACATAGACCACAGGTGTTGTTGAAGTAGGAGCTTGGTAATGAGATGGAGGCATAGTGCTCGCCATCATAGGTTACCAGGAGTCCAAAGTCTGTCTCTAAGGCCACAGCAACTCCAGATTGGTACACTTTTATTGCACCAAGGTCGAGTTGGACTGGCAATGTCTTCATCAAACCGTCCACCTAAAGAACAATATATGGTTTAATTTGAAGAAAAATATAAAGAACATGCAAAAACTCAAACCTTCTATGTCACAGGACATCAGTCCCTTATTTAATACCTATTAGGTTAAACATCAATTGCTATAAAGATGTCTATTTATCCCGTCATTGTTTTCTACCATGTTTTTTCAATTGTTAAAAAAGGCTTTCAAACAGCAAAAGCCTCAATGTAGATGCTGCCCTAAACAAGATGTTAATGGTTAAAGAATTAGCAATATGGCTCAATTAAAACAGTCAAGCAGGAGCAAGGCAGACCAGACTCCCCCGCAGTTATGTAAAATACCTTTTTTAAAGAAGTAATCATTAGAAAACTCAATATGGTTTTCAATCAATTTAATCAGGTTGTCTTTGTTAGAAACGTCTGTTCGCAAACAAAACTAGAAGAAATCTGTAAGAAATGTTTTCCACTCCACTAGGTTCCTACCTGGACACTTCCCAAACTGCCTTTAGGTATCAAGACTCTATGACCGTAGACCTCCACTGTCACATCTCTTAACCAGGAAACTGAGGTAACGCCTCGGTTCTCGTTTTTGGCCTCCACACTGAAGAAGGGCAGTCCTACCATCTCCCAGCATGGCCGAGCAAGCAAATATGAGCAGGTGCCTTGGAAGTGATAGAGGAAGCCATCAAAGGTGTGATAGTGAGGATCTCCAAATACCACGCAGGTACTGGTGCGAGTAGGCTGGCAGTAAAAGGCTCCCTCCAGTTGCTCGCAGTTCTCAAACTGTCCACATGGAGCCTCGAGGCATTGCACCTCATTGTTAATATCAAGGCATCGGCAACGCTGTGAGCACTGTTCAGAAATCCAGAAAATCTCCCCTCGTCTGTAAAACCGTCCTGATGAAGTAGAAGCACAAAATAAAGAGATGTTAAGGTGTCCAAGGTAAGTCCAGTAATATTTGGACCATAGGGACAGAAAACAGATTTTTGAAGTTCACCATTGTAGCTGCAGCCGTTGGCAGGATCTATCAACTCAGTGTCAACGCGGAAAAACCAGCGTCCAGGAATGTTTACGTTGGTTGTTTGTTCAATATTTACCACATCATTTGACCGGGATCCCGGCAGGTTGAAGAAGTGACCAATATCTCCACCATTAAAACCTGCCTAAAATAAGATAAAAACTAAATGTAAGTCACATTGTTGATGTAACGCCTGTACTATATATGATCTATGCAGAATACCTGAGCTGTTGTTCCACCAAGTCCAGTCAAAGGATCTCCCCCGCTGGCTGTTCCTGTGCTCCATGTAATTTCTCCATAGTTGAACATACTAAAGAACGCCACACCATCTGAGATAAGTACTGTCTGGAAAGTGTTCACCTATCAATCCAATGAGAAATATTTTTAAAATGTACAAACTGAATGCAAAAAACATATAAATTAAGTATCCTATAGATTTTTGGATATTAGTCAGTTATTAACTCTGAGTTAATAGATTTCAGATTATAATTAAAAAAAAATTACATTATGTTGATGCACAGTATGTTTCTACAGATGTTTAGCTATTTTTTTTTCACTAAAAGGTTGTTAGATTTAGAAATTGTCCTGTTTAGGCTATTAGTGTATTCAATTCAATTTCAATTCAGTTCGATTTTAATTTCAGTTTAATAAATTTCTCAATATTCTCAATTAAAATTTATAATTTCAAGAATTAAAACAAATCCAAAGAAAATAAACAGTGAAAAACAAAATATTTATGTAGGCTGAAATTAATCTTAACAATATTTAACCTTTGATTGAATAGCCATCCAAATCCTGACGAAGCATTTCTGAGTTAAACTGTTAACTAAACTAAGGCTACTTTTATTTATTTATTTTTTATTATTGCATTGAATTTAGTAAAAGAGGCAGATTTGCCTGTGAATCATTCTTAATTATATCAGGCAGGCTTTACGAAATGGAAAGAGATGTTATTCTCTCAAAGAAACAAATACATTTCAGGTGAACTCATATATTTGCTCTCTTAATAAAGTTTAAAGTACCCCTCTGCCAGAGCCGCTGTTATTTTCCCGGTGCCTCATTACTTTTGTCTAAACCCACACTTGATCAACTATTTTGTAAACTCTTTCCCTGCTAATTTGTTTCTGGTCAAAAAAAATTAAAAGTTATTTTCTTCTACAGTGATCACATTATTATCTAGAATAAGTGACCGCTTCATAGTTAACATATGGTCACAAATTTAGCGTAGTATTCAACTTAAACTTTTACACATTTCATATATAGTGTTCTGACCGCATTGCATTAGAATGAATTTAATTGATTTGAATTAATTTAGACCACCTTGAATCATAGATATGAATTTAAACTTTTGCTTTGGTAAAGAGTGTTAAAATAACATAGATGGTGATCTGATAATCAATGTAACACCAAGTGTGTCAAAGTTTTGAAAATGAATTTGTGATAAAGAGGTAAACAATTCCACCTAGAGTTAAAGGTATTGGAGGATGTTCTTTTTCCGGGTGGATCATCAAAATAAGTGGTCCTCCTAATTGTCAATCATTCGGGTAATATGTTTACGTAAGGCCGTCCTATGTGCTCGTTCCCATTTTCAGTTACAAGTCTGATATAGTGGAAAAATAGCAAATGTTCTATTGGAAAGCTTGTATGAGCGATGCAAACAGCAACTTTTAAACAGAGCTTACACATGGAGATATTAGGAGCAAGTACAGGGTGGTGCATGTTCATGTTTTTTAAAAGTTGAGAGGGTGGGTCTGTTCAAAAATGTGTGAAAATCCTTCGTTATATCTTTAATAACCCACTTATATCAAAGAAAAAATGTCATGATGGAGCATTGCTATATGAGAGCCTAATGTGATTAAATATATAGAAAATAAATGGTCCAGTTTTCTTTATGTTATTTTAGGACATTTTATTTAGTCAATGAAAACGACTAAATACTGTTTGAATGTACCGGGGTTGTCTGGCTCCCTCCGTAGAAGGTAACCTGGTGCCATGTTGCTAGAAAAACCCATGTGGCTGTAAAGCCAGGCATGCTTTTGAAGTGCTTGCGAACATCTTGGGTTGCTCTTTCTAGTAGTTCAGGATCGGTGGTCTCTCTGTAGTAGACATCTCCACGGATGCCGTTGTGCACATCTGCCCAGAGTGGAGCAATGAAAGATCTGCTGTCGCTTAGAGGGAAAGCCTCAGGTGTGAACTGGCTAACTTGAACACTGAAGGAGATCACACCATTGTTGTTGACCTGCAAACACAGCAGAAAGAATTGTTGCAGGGCATCATATACGATAAAACTGGTTAAAATCAGTGAATTTCTGATGAAAGACTTACATAGATGGAACGGTAAGGCACATTGAAGAAAATAAAAGGAATGAGCAGAGGAATTTCTGGTGAACTTCCGTCATCCATCTTTGGAGTTTCAAGATCTCTATGGCCTGGTCCATATGGGTACAAAACATCCTGAGTAAAAGCTAAAAAAAAAAGAGGGTAAAGTAAAATTTAATATTTACTTTATCAAACAAGACAAGACAATAATTACTAGACAACTTATTAAGGGATCTGTGACATTTAGTACCTTTTGTCTGTGCAAAAATGCTTAACAGTTGGAGCAGAATGACTGGACAGCATCGTCTGACCATTCTGAAAAAGGAAGAAAAACAGACGGAGATGAGGAAAGAGATTATACTAAAGTCATGTCACCTAATCTGCATTGCCTTTCGCTCAAAGCTAATGGAATGGTGGGGAGATGTGAGTCATAGGACAGCTTCTCATAAACAAGACCATTTAACAAAGCAGAGAGGAGGGGGAACCATCCAACCAGCACCACGTTACTTATTTAACATTAGGCTCCCAGGCCTCCCATGAGGATTTCTTAAAAGGTCCCATTATTCATCTCAGAACAATGTCTAAGGATCACATTTGCCTAGGGTCTCATGTGAGCCAACAGCAGTAGACATGGGGTCCTCTGTACCTGGGTCCCCGGCAGCTGCTGACACTGGCTCTCTCTACTCCTTCGTCTCAGTGCCTGAAGCTGTGAAGCAGCTCAGGACCTCATTACTACCTCTGTTTGGGACCCATCCATGCTTTGTTGGCTAAAGGAACAGGGGTGTTAACACAAGGGCACTAATGGCTTTAAGTGAGAAGGTTCGGTTGCGAAGGACCTTGCAGTGCTCCATCGGGGCTGTTCGGTGACAGGTTTGGAAAGTTTCCCATTGGTAAAGTGGAATGCACACTCAGGTTAGCAAATTTCGGGACACCATATATCGAGTCTTAAACTTATTTCATGAAATGCAATTAGGATTCAGGATAAGTCCCAGACAAGTAAATCATTAACTATTCATTTTCCTGGGGAAAGTGCTTGCCAGTCTACTTAAACTCCGATCTAATGTGTTAATGATTCTTCTGTATTTTAATATTTTTTCCACATTTCCAAAATTAAAAAAAATTACTTTCTTGTTCTTCACAAAAAGTGCTATATCAATTCATAAAGTTCAAAACCTAAACCTCACCCATGTAACCATTTGTGCAACATTAACTTCATAAAATTTGATAGTTTTTACTCATTGTTCACATTTCTTCAATGGATTCTTTTAAAATAAGTATTTTACGATAAAGTATGCCCTTTTCTTTCTAGTTGGGGTTTTAAATAAACCTAGCCTGCAAGCTAAACTTGATGTGTTTACAAATACACAATACGAGAATCCCTCTTCTTTCACTGCCATCTTGACATTCAAGCCACAGTTGAACTGAGATAATCAGACAAACAGATCTGATAAAAGTAGGGATGCACGATATAATCGGCCCCCTATCGGTATCGGCCTTAAAACTGAATATCGG